AGTATCGCATCCAGCTCTTTGTAGAATCGGCAGGTCGCGGGGGGAGCACCCGAGTGGCCGTTTGCATCGTGGGCTTTGCGGTAGGCACTCCGCAGCTTCTTCACTTTAATCCTGCACTGCAGGGCGTCCCCGTCATGGCCCCTTTCCATCATGTCCTTTGATACCTTCCCAAAGGTATCGTAATTCCTACGGCTGGAGCACAGCTGGGACTGTACAGCTTCCTCCCCGCAAACACTGATGAGGTCCAGCAACTCGCCATTGCTCCATGCTGGGGCTCGCTTGGTGCATGGAGGAATGGTCACCTGGAAAGATTCGCTGATAGCACTCCATGCCATGCCGGGCTGAGCAAACAGGAAGGGGATTTTTAAAATTCCCAGGGAATGTAAAGGGTGGGTCACATGGTTGGTTACCTAAGGCCAGGGCAGTAGAGTTTGAACTGATGACCAGAGTGACTAGAACAGGCATTATGGGATACTGCCGAATACTTCTGGAGGCCAGTCACAGCGCATTGGGCAGCCACACTGGTGCCGCAGCGCTGCAGCGGCAGCGCAATACACGCTATTTCTCTCAGGGATGTGGAGTACATGCAGCGCTGCAACCACGGAGATACAGCGCTGCAAATGCCTTGCCAGTGTGGACGGGGAGTGAGTTACAGCACTGGGAGCGGCTTTACAACGCTGTAACTCGCAAGTGTAGCCAAGGTCTAAGGTCTGTTATTGAGGAAACATGATTACATTAGCCATACTGTCTTTCATCTTCCCTCTAGTTCAGGGGTCAGCAACCTTTCAAAAGTGGTGTGCTGAGTCTTCATTTATTCACTCTAATTTAAGGTTTCGCATGCCGGTAATACATTTTAACGTTTTTAGAAGGGGTCTTTCTATAAGCCTATATTATATAACTAAACTATTGTATGTAAAGTAAACAAGGTTTTCAAAATGTTTAAGAAGCGTCATTTAAAATTAAATTAAAATGCTGATCTTATGCCACCAGCCTGCTCAGCTCGCTGCCAGCCTGGGGTTCTGTTACCCTAGGCCGGCAGCAGGCTGAGCAGGGCCTGCAGCTGGGACCCCAGACCGGGGTGTGTGTGTGTGTGTTTCAGGGGTCAGGGCAGAGGGCTGAGGTGTGTGTGGGGGGGTTCAGGGATCAGGGCAGAGGGCTGTTGGTGTGGGGGGGTGCAGGGCACCATGCCCAGCAATCCTTCTCACATATCTGCATAAAATGTGTGTAATACATTATTGTTCATGTAGTGGGGTGGTCCCCCGCTCCTGCCCTGAAGGGCTTAAAACAGCCCTGGGGGAAGGTTGTGGCTGGGAGCTGCTAAGCTGGGATGATTGGGGAAGCAGCCGCAGCTGGGTCACACCCCAATCAGGCCACAGCTGGCCTGTATAAGAAGGCTGGGAGCCAGGAGCCCAAAGAGTCTCTCTCTGCATTCAGAGAGAGAAGGGCCTGGCTGCAGAGAGTTAAGACAGAGTACCTGGGTGGAGCAGGGCTGGGGACAAGCTGAGGAGCTCCAGCCTGGAGAGCCCCAAGCTGCAGCCTAGTATTAGGCCAAGGGGTACTGGGGGTTGCAGAGGGCAGCCCAGGGGTAGGCCAAGGCAGCAGGTCCAAACCCAACCTTGCCAATGATGAGTGGCCTATACTGTAGTCTGCCCCAGGGAGCGGGGGCTAGTTGGTGACTGGCAGTGGCCTTATTCTGAGGTGAGGTGGGGATAGTGGGTGGGGGTTCCCCAGGGAGGGGAGACCCAGAGATGAGGGGTTACTGCTAGGGGGCAGCACCCCAGGTACAGAGGCACCAGGGTGCTGGGAGGGACTCGGGGCCAGAGGACAGGCAGATCACCGGCCTGCAGAGGGTGCTCCAGGAGCTGGAATGAGCTAATTCCCTGAGAGACCAGCAGAAGGCGCCGCAGGGGTGAGTCCATTCCTCTACAGTTCAGAAAACAGTTAGTGCCACTTCTAAATTAGCTGTGCAAATAGGCAGGGCACATTTCCCAAAAGGAAACAAACCCTTAAAAGAGGCAGATGGTAGCAACATGCCTACAGATCATTTCTGTCAATGGTAGGCTTTGAATTTACAGTGCATGGGTCTAGCTCAAGTTCAATGACCATAGCATGTCCCTTGGAGCCATCCAGCTACTGTAACAATGGACTGTCTGCAAACCCTCTGGCTTAGGCTTGCTGTACATTCACATTTCAACCTCTTTGACTTATGAATGTTTGGCACGTACCATGCTAGCAAGCCAAACCTTTTCAGCGACAGTGGGTGCCATGCACTAGCTGAGATAAATGTCAAGTGACTGAGATCAATAGGAGAATGGGGGGAAAGGGGAGCATTTGTTTGTTTGGGGGATTGGATTGGGAGAGGGGTTGTATCTTGAGCTATTCCTTGCTCAAATGACCCCAAATTTGGACCAGCATCCCCACAAGGCACGATGGATTTCAAGACTATCTGAGAGAGCCTGTGGATGTTAGAGCGCATAGAAGAGTCCTTCTAAAGAGAAAGCACTTTTCAACCTTCACTACAGCAGAGCTGGTACTCTGCCCTAATGAAAAAGGGAAATAGATAATGGGGTCTCTAGGTCCACATTAATGTGCCACCTCTCTGAGTGCTCACAATCTTATTTATGAAGAAGAAATCCAAGTGAACAAGAATAAACAAGTGCCATATGGGGAGACACTAGAAGAGTGACTTTTTAAAAAGCTTTGTTGAATTTTCTATAATATGAAAATACAAAGTACAGATTACTGCCTTTTGTAGCTGGATATTACTGCAAAGGCAGTGCTATATGTGAGTGGATCCATTTTGATTTATGTCCAGGGAAATAAAGGCATAGGACAACTACTCAGTAGATTTTATTTTATTTTTTTAAAGAAAACAAACCAGACAATAACATAAGGAAAGCCTAACATGCAACCTAAACTGCAAATAATGTAGCTTCTGACTCACCATTTTGTAATTAACTTGATTGGAATAATTATCTTTGTATCCAGAGTAGATTCTTCATTGACCTTAATGTGTAGAAAGAATCAGCTTGTAAAAAACATATTTACAATTTCCCTTTAGTTTCACAGGTGAGTCCTGTGAATATGGTGACATCAAGTGGTGACATGTTTTTAAGCTAACTCCATTAAGCAAGCCAAACTTGCTGTACTGTATTACTAATTATACACACGATGGCCAGTATTGTGAGAGAGCGAAAAGGAACAAATCAAACCCTGAATACTCTTAGCATTGTAATTGTTATAAAGTCAAATATTGTGTGGGTTTTTAACCAGGAAAATTTACACCAGTTTAGCTCAATCTGGATGAATCAGAAAAAGTCTGTCAAACTATAGCGATTGGGAATGCAGTACACCAAAGAACTATGAACTATTGTAGGACTCTAACCAGACAAAAGCCTGATGTTTTCCCTTTTTTATGCTGAAATGCACATGCTTTTTTATGTGATTACTAAGGTGTCTGTCTAATCTGAGAGCCAACCTATCGGCCAATCTTCAGATGAACTGAGTTCAATGGGCACAGCTGGGTGAGAGCCAAAGGCCCTAAACCATCTTTATGCTTCCCTTGATCCTTGACCAGGCAGGGGCCAGACTTGCCCCTGGTACATGTAAGAGTAGCCACAGTGTTTGTACAGATATGTATGTGTGTTTATGTATGTCTGAGAGCAGTTGAAGAAGCTACTATAGATTATACAAAGATAGCCCATGTCCCAGTTCCCACTCCGCATAAAACAGAAAGTGGAGAGCTGCTAAAGTGGGTTCTATCTCCCATCTCTTCTGAGGGTGTAGTACTGCTGCTGGCAGCCAAAAGCGAGAATGGAGGTGTCATGAAAATACAGCCCTACGGAACAAATTCTGCCCCTGGTTATTCAATGCAACCCCAGTAGTCAATGGAGTTTGACTGGTACAATGGAGCTGAGAACATTTTCAGAGATTCTGAAAGGCAATGTAAGGAATTTCCTTAACCTGTTATTGCCCTGGTAACAGTTTATGGAAACAGTC